CCCCTGCTGCCATAATCTTCTGATGCGGTGGGGGTTAATACAGCTAAGGTAGTTGTCAGGAGCTCTCATCAAGAGCGCTCGACCATGCCCACCTTTTCCTGACCAATCCACCATTCATAGTACTACAACTTCTATGAATGACATAGGAACCATGAATGGATGAGGAGGAGTTATAAATAATTCACTCATTCTTGATTCAGAGATCCTTTTTCATTTACAGGATCTCTGTGAATGACATACTAATAAAAAGTAATGAAATGCCAATTTTATTGTGTCTCTCCTCCAATCCTCCTAAAAATGCCCATATATATAAAATGATTGTTATATGACGGACTTGTACTGTGAGAACTTACAGCAGAAAGATCTAAAGTATATTTCTGTGCCAAACTGACATTTGGCTTCAATTGACTGACTTTCTTGAAGTTCAGGCAGTCATTTTCAATATTTATTTTCAGTAAGAAAAGTGGTTTTTACACAGAGGAATTTAGTTTTAAAAATGGAATAAGATGTTATGTGACCATCAGAAGAAAATAATGTTTAGCAGAGTTTTTTTAAAGTCAGTTATATAAAAAGAGGTTTCTAATCCTACCTAGGGAAGTCAGCCAGTAGCCTCTTGATTCTTTTTAATTTATCATGTAAGACACTGTGAATAAATCTACTACTTGAGATTGTTTATAACAGCCAGGTGCTAGAACATTGAGTATTTGACCTGTGGAACTGAAATCCCAAATTCAATAAGAAGCAACATACTCAGATGAACAATGTGTCTGAAGTAAATGGTATACCACCAAATGGAAACTTAGATAATTTCTAAGGGGTATTCTTTCCCTAAAAACAGGCAACCCCCCGCACCTTATCTCCCCATTCTACTGAGACCTATGCCTTTATAAGGCTAAAGCTGGCCATGCACTAGAGGAATTTCATTTAAAAATGTTCATTTTCTAGAAAGTCCTTTCAATTTTCTAATTGTAAGTGGGATCAAATCAATGTTTCCGACCACAGTGACAACAGTATTCAAAGGTACAGGATGGAAAATTTTTTGATCAAACGAATTTCTAACAGTGAATGTTCGCTTGGGAAAGACTATACATTACAAAATCGATTATTAAAAGCAAACAAAATGTTAATGTACTTTCTAGCAACATTCCTTAAAGTGGAACTTAGCTGTATCAGGGCACTACAAACTAAAAATGCATTTCATTTTTAATATTCTAATCAAACTTGGCCATCTACGCATGGCTCCATGCTTTATTTTGTTAAGAAATCACTTTTAAAAAACACCCCGTAGCATGTCTAGCCACAGCCATCTTGAGAAAGGGCAGATGTAGCAATTTCCTTAGCTCAGGCTCAAGCATGCAGGCAGGAATGTGTGCTTAACCAAGAAATCCCCTTACCCCTGCCTTAGATGAAAGAAACAAAAAATGCCCATGAAGACTCCTGGGATGTTTGACATCATCCTGGCCTAGATGAGAAACCAGGAAGCTAAAGAAATGTAGAAAAAGAAAAAAAGTTCAAAACAAGTTTAGCAACATAAGGATTAGAAATAATTGATGTTGATTGAGTTTAGTTCTACTTTAAGTCATCAAAAACAGAAATCTACTACGGTAAAGCCAGCTCAAGACTGTAGTCAGATGAATATCTAAAGAACTGGTGGTCAACCTGTGAGTGATAGGGGACTTTAACTGCATTAAACATTTCCAAGAGACAGCACATAACATTCAGTGCAACGCAAAATGCAACAGTAGATTTTCAGAGACTGTGGATATGCTACAGCTCTGGTTGGAGGACATTCTGCAGAAGACAGAAAACTGATAACATGTTACATAAAGCTGCTAGAGATTACTGCCATTAAAACTCAATGATTAAAGAACAATAACCTGAGGGATGTACAATACGCAATAGAACATTGCAGGTTGGGCACAGGGATCCTGTCTTGCATTTTGACACTGGCGACTATATGGTCTTACTTTTGCAGCACACAGCTATAAGTTCCAAACAGGGAGTTCATATGACTGGCCCTAGACTTGTGTGTGTGTCACCATAATTAAAAGATAAGTTCACCTTTTGAAAACAAAATAAAAAGATGTGCATTTATTATTTTTCTTCTAAGTAGCCTGCAGAGCATTTCGCCCATGATCCACAGATCTCTAGCTCTTACAGACTCTCAGCTTAGCTATCTGCCTGTACCTTGTACGGGCAAGCAGTTACCTGAGAACAGGAAGATGAATGGACTATGAGAGTGCTCACCAGCAGTAGCTCATTAAGAAGTGCAAGTCTTCAGCAGCAATGGAAACTGTGAATGAATGACCTGGCCGTATGTTTGGAGCCTGGCATGGCCACTGTATTTTTGGGGGAGATTGGGGGCAGGGGGGGGAGAGAGACTGCAGACTCTGGAACATATGCATATCCCCTTTATGAAGGTGCAAAGATAACCTGGAACAAAAAATGTTAAAACAGAAATTTCTTGTGTGCATGTGACCCTCTGTCAAGTATAACAGGGATATCCACCTTCTGTACACAACATTAAGATCCCTGTCTAGTGGTGTTGAGTGCTTTATGAGCAATAAAGGATAGAATGGTCTTAAAAGACACTGTACATTATGGTCATGGCAAAGTAACAGATTTCACTGCTAAGGGACAGATACATATCAATGCATTTACAAAGAAGTCCCACACATGAAGGATTACTGTTATTAGGGGCATTTTATAGAAAAACAAATGTTGCTTTCTTTTTATAATGTGTGCACTAACATAATGTTCCCATTTCATCCCTTAGCTCCATATATAACTTTCATTTGAAGGATAATTTTACACATTTCACATCCCTTACTCTTTGTATTGTGACACGGCTATAAAAAAACAATGACTTTCTAAGGGGAACCATTTCCCAATGAGCACCAGTGAAAGACACAGCGAAAAGCAGTGATGTACCTCTTCCAAAACATCTAAGTGCAGCCAAATGGAAGATCTAGGTGACCCCCCCGCCCCTCAATGAACAAACTCCAGCTGGTAAAAAGTCACAGGGTGTTTTAGTTAAATGTATTGTATATTTGAGTGCTGGGAGGGATTAAATACAAAATATTTTGTCCCACGTTTTATTTTGGTAGTCTATATAATTTTACTGATTGCTTATTGCCGCGCCCTAAATGTGAGATATGAATACTTCCAGAAATAATGAACCTTCCAAATCGACTTATTACAACTTCAAAATAAGTAAATAATAAAATGTGAAAAAACAAAAAATGTGAAAAAAAATCATAATATTAGTAATTTAAATAAGAAATTAATAGTGTCCAAAAAAAGTCTATATAAATTTGATTAAAGTTGATTAGTCAAACAAGATTGCAGATGGATTCTTGCTGGAATATAGATACTTATATGTGCTCACCTTCCATTAAGCCCACTGCTGGGCTAACACAGCTTTGTGATGTTTATCCTTGAAGGATATCTTTAGAGACTGTTGGATACTCGTGATGGTTGATTATAGATGATTGTGGGTCTGTGGGTTAGTTTTTTCTCATAGCAATAAAAAGTGCTCCATCTCCTTGTATTATTCATCGTTGGTATAGTGGGAAAGAAAAAGGTACATCCCCCAGACGAAGCCACGTGTCCCTGTGGCGCAACGCGTTGGGGAGGGGCTTTGACGTCACCACAGCAACCCGACTTCACGGCGAGTATAAGTCTATGTGAGCAAGTGTGAGCAACCACGCAGGAGACCTGTCACAAACGCATCTAACGGTTTCACTGATTTTAACTCAGCGCTTTTTATACTGAATACTTGTGAGTGCATAAGAAGTAGTTGTGAATAAAAATTGTTCTTTTAAAAAACGATAAGGCACCATGTACCTTTTTCTTTCCCACTATACCAACGAGGAATAATACAAGGAGATGGAGCACTCTTTATTGCCATGAGAAAAAACTAACCCACAGACCCACAATCATCTATAATCAACCATCAGTAGTATCCAACGGAGTCTCTAAAGATATCCATCAAGGATAAACATCACAAAGCTGTGTTAGCCCAGCAGTGGGCTTAATGGAAGGTGAGCGCATATAAGTATCTATATTTCAGCAAGAATCCATCTGCAATCTTGTTTGACTAATCAACTTTAATCGAATTTATATAGACTTTTTTTGGACACTATTCATTTCTTATTTAAATTACTAATATTATGATATTTTTTTCACGTTTTTTGTTTTTTTTTTTTCACATTTTATTATTTATTTATTTTGAAGTTGTAATAAGTTGATTTGGAAGGTTCATTATTTCTGGAAGTATTCATATCTCACATTTAGGGCGCAGCAATAAGCAATCAATTTATTGTACAATACTACAAAACACATTTATATGAGGATGTGAATAGATGCCTGCTGACCTATATATTTATTTATTATACCTCAGTGGCTCGCAAGTAATTATAATATATATTATCTATATAATTTTACTTTTTTCCTGATGAAGCAATTGTAATGCTGAAACATGTTGGGATTTGGATAACTTACTAACATTTTTTATTGCTTTTACTAATCTACATAGAGATACAAGGCTACAGGATTTATCTATAAATGATTCTACACAAAGTTTGTGCAACAATTTTTTGGCCAAGATTTGATTTTCCACATTCAGCATCATGCAAGATTCACCCATGTGAAAATTTAATCGAACAGAATTTGCCCAATAGCTGTTCTTCAATGGGAAAATACCTTGCTGCAATATCCATTCTATCACTCAGCGAATGTTGATGCATTCCAAATTTCACCCAACAAACTACCCATTTTTCACCTTGAACAATACAATTATCAAGTAGAATTAATGAGCACTATGGAAAGTTTTTTGCTTTGCTCGAAGAAGTTTGATGTTTAAAGAAGTTGATATTTGTGTCATGCTAGGACCGTTTTTTGTTCTGTATCACATTTTACTGATAATTTATAACTTGTTACATGTTAGTGGTTTGTTTACAGTGTTACTAAACCCACAACAGTAAAATCAGTCTGTATATGGAGTAAAGCATGCTTGTTATACTCACTGTGAAACTTAAGGGGTTAATCCTCCACATTGTGTAAAAAATATGTTTGATCCTCTCTTCTCTAAACCTCCCCTTCTTCTATTGTCCCCGATATATCTCCTGATAGAACAGAGACTTGGAGTCACTCTGCACATGCTCAGTTTGGTATGTATTGCTAGAGATATTTTTTTTTTCTTGGGGGAGTGCATGTGATCAGCACAAAACCAATCAGCACTGCCCAGACAGAGGCAGGTCAGGGGCCATGCAGCCTCATATAGGACAATCAGGGGAGATTGAAAACTCCTCCTACAAGCTTTAACCAGTGCTTTGCTGGACACTAATAGAAGTCACAAGACTGCTCTAACTGCTGATGAGAAAAGGTATTTAGCAGTTTATATTTACTAAAATAATTGCATTTCCACATTCTGTGTACCGTTTGAGACCAGATATAGTGAATGCAGGGTCCTGGGTTTAGTAACACTTTAAAGTGTTACTAAATCCACAGCAGTAAAATCAGCCTGTATATGCAGTAAAGCATGCTTGTTATACTCACAGGGGTTAATCCTGTCCATTATGTAAAAAGACTGATTCTGTCTTCTCTGATCCTCCCCTTCTTTTACTTCCCCAATCCATCTGCTGATAGTACAGAGCCCTAGGAGACACTCTGCACATGCTCAGTTTGGTGTGTATTGCTAAAGAGTTGTTTTTTGGGGGGGAACGTTGCATGTGATATCAGCAAAGGGCCAATCAGCACTGTCCAGACAGAGGGTCAGGGTTCATGCAGCCTCATAGGACAGTCAGAGAAGAATGAAAATTCCTCCTACAAGATTATCCAGTGCTCAGCGGGACACTAATAGAAGTCACAAGACTGCTATATACTGCTGATGAGAAAAGTTATTTAACAGTTTATATTTATTAAATTAATTGCATTTCCATGTTCTTTGTACTGTGGGAGACCAGATACAGTGAATGCAAGGTCCTGGGTTTAGTAACACTTTAGGTGCTGCATCACTGGTTTATATAGTATTTTGTGCTATAATATATTGTGTTATTGTGAGTAAAAAAAAGTTTTGTTTTAACAGTAAGGGTTTGATATGAGAGATATATGTCTAATATTTCATGCTTATTGATATAATTATCCTGTATCACTACTGTGTTTAACTTTATGGTCACCTTCAGTCTACTAAGCATTCCAAAAAGGACAAAAGGGGGGTCCAGACATTGTTCACAAAGAGGATGTGGGAGCTTGTCATTAGTATCATTTAAATACAGAATTTATATAGCACCAGAGCTTTACAAAATGAAGGGAATAAGTACAGTTACAATGCCATTTAATACAAAAGCTTACAATCTAAAAGATTATATAATACCTTCTCTTGCTAGGGCAGAGTCCAAGGTAATTGTGGCTTTTATTTCATTTTAAATCCCTTTTAAATTGCATTTAAAGTTTACTTGTTTGCTATGATATCCCTCTTCAAGAATTATCCTAAATCTATAAAGGTGACCTCCAAGGCTTGGCAATGGCCTGTTTTTCTGGCAAGGAAAAACAGACTGGCAGCATTCCTTGCTCTTGTCCATCGATGGCCTTAGATTTTTTAACAGAGCAATTTCCTGATGGTTACAATTTTAACTCACACTTTATTCTGTTAGATCAAAATCTGTACAGGACTGAAATAGGTAAGCAACATGTACCGATAAAAGTGCTCAAGATCTAGATGATTTGACAGTTTTTCTTTATAAAATCACACCGCAATATAGGCATTACAAAACATGCTGAGGATGTTATAGAAGAATCACATATAAAGATATATTAAATATGCCATTGCAGTATGTATGCCAACATTGCTACTGACATTGACTACTGCAACTCCCTCCTCACCGGCCTACCCCAGTGCAAACTCACCCCGCTTCAGACCATCCTGAACTCAGCTGCCAGACTCATCCACCTCACCACCCGCTCCACCTCTGCCACCCCCCTCTGCCTCTCCCTCCACTGGCTCCCCATTGCCCAACGCATTAAATTCAAACTGCTCACTCTGACCTATAAAGCCATTCACAACACTGCCCCTAACTACCTCACCGACCTGATTCCCAGATACCACCCTACCCGTACCCTTCGCTCTTCACAGGACCTCCTTCTATCTTGCTCCCTGGTCTCCTCCTCCCACGCACGACTGCAAGACTTCTCCAGGTCCTCCCCCATCCTCTGGAACTCACTACCCCAACCCATCAGACTGTCACCTTCCCTCCTCACCTTCAGGCGCTCCCTGAAAACCCACCTCTTCAGGGAAGCCTACCCCACCCTCACCTAACAGCCGCTGCCCTTCCCTCCTCCTTCCACTCCATCCCCCACAGCCATTTCCTCCTGTACCTCTACCCCCTCCCTCCTAGATTGTAAGCTCGAAAGAGTAGGGCCCTCTTACCCCTTGTGTGCTGTTTGATGTTACTGTACTGTTTCATGTATTGTCCCCCCTCTATTGTACAGCGCTGAGCAAACCCTTTGGCGCTATATAAACTCGATAAATAAATAATAAATAAAATAAATAACATGAGATCACTTCTAAACTGATGAACACATTGGGAAAGAACATAAGTAGACATCCTTATGCAAAAATGTGGTCAAGACAGAGAAATCACTCACTCTAATGCAAAAGTGAAAAGCAGGCAGCTGGAAGTTTAGACGGCCAAATAACTGGCCAAATTTCTGGCTGACTACTTTTCTTTGCAATATAAATTTACAAGCCTTGAAGAAAAACATGTTTCAAAACAAGTTAGATTCTTTGTAAATTTGCCAACAATTATTTGTAAATAAATTCTGCATTTTTGGAAACTATAATTATTGACATAATGTAATTCTAAGTTCTAAAGCAGACAAAGTGTTATATGCAATATACACTATGCCAGATACTTGAGCCGATTTATTTATGGTAGCTTTTCCATGTTTATAGTCAAGTCTGAAATATTTATTTCCTTAAGATAAAAGCACAACATGTCTCCCCTGCTGGTCTATTTTGTGGTAAGAATTGAATGGCTTGCCCGCCGCTCTATAGTAGAAATACTGCTACAGGGCGGCAGGGCTGCACAAAATCACGTATATATATATAAGGGAAGGGGGGGGGGGCTATCTGCATTCAAAATCTATGTTAAAGCTGATCTGATGACTTCTGGTTCAATGATTAAGTTCCAGTCACAAACAGTTATTACTCCAAGGTGGGATTAAATTGTGTAAGGGGTTCTTTATCATTAGAGTGGAAAGGATGTGGAACTCCCTTTCACAGTTAGTGAAACGTTTAGCTGGGAGCCATTGCAAAAGCAATATACAGGGATATGAGAAATGGTAGTGACATAAACACATACACACACACTTCGAACTGGATAGACTGGTGTCTTTATGCAACCTTACCAACTATGTATGCGGGAGTATTAACGCATGCTCTTCATACATTCCTGATTAACTACTGGAGTATACTCCTTTGTTTCTTCCTTATAGCGAGTAGAATGGTATCTCCTGCTATCAAGGAATGGGTTACCAAACTTACCACCTGCAATACATAGAGGAGCTGACAGCCGGTAAATTTGAACAATATGTACCCACTTGGAGCATTTGGAAACACTTCAAGAGCACAGACCACTTTAGAAGCCAATTATAACACATTGGACCATCAACCAATAGGATTGATACAAAAGTCGCTCCTCTCAGAAGCTACTTAACACTCTTCCCTACACTCTCCTTCCTTTTTTCATCCTATCTGTTTACGGTTTTCTCTATTACTCTATATCCTTCTCTTACCAGATCCTTAATGGGCCCATCCTCCTTGGTCACAGAATACATGAACACATACCCCTACTTATTCACACTCATATCAACAATATAACTTCCACAGAAATGAAAGCATAGCGAGGGCCTCTACCAGACCACACTCATCATACTAACAAACAATAGAAATATAGTCGAAAAAGTGTATGTGGAATTGACAATGTGATCTCTGAAGCACCCAGCAAGCTTTGCAAGTCATTCAGTTGCAAGAATTTCTGCTATGTAGCTCTGACATGCAGTGCAACTTCACGCTAATCTTTTTCTGTAATTAATCTCAGGTCCAGGCATCTTTCCAACAAATATTTATTTATATGAAAATCAGACAGAGGAAAACACTTAATGCAGCCTCTTGAGATCATGGCCCACTCCTGGTCTCTGGAGATTTTTAAATGTAAGCAAAGTGCTTCCAGCATTCTAAGATCAGAGTTCCTTTGCTGAAGTGAGAGATAAGGCTCACTTCAGAGTCCCCATTCTACAGAGCTGTGTGTCTAAATACTGCTAGTTTCACTGACACATGTGATTGCCACTTTCCAGGATCTACACATTTGAAATCTCCGATCTTTTTCTAAGACTATTTCTGAAACTTGACAAAACCCATTGCTGTGAATCTTCAGTCTAGTGTGTCAGTGTTAGCCTTTTGGGAATATAACAAAAGTAGTAAACCATCTTACAGATCATACAATCATTTTTGGAAGTAAAATTTTCTGTTATGGCCTTCTTAGTCATTATTTTTCTTTCATAGTAAGCTTTTTTATATTTTAACAATATATCTACACTGGAAAAAATCATTTCTCAGGAACACGTGTATAACCTGTTCACTTAAAGAGAAAAAATAAATGAGAATGAAAATAAAACAGCAAGAGAGAGGAGGAACTAGCTAGCGGGGAACTGGAATCAAATTACCATTCCAATAATTTCTAAAGAGATTAGAAAAGAATAATCTTAAAAGAAAATAATCTCTTGGAGAAAATTAGGCTTGAAGAAATTACAATCAGAGTCAGCAATAACAGTACAGAGAGAATTAACCTATTTGCCCCAAATCACATCGAGATTTGTGGGACAGCCTGCCGTTTATAAGCCATTGTATATCAAGGTAGGGCCAATGTTATAAAGTTCAGTCCGCAATATAAGGAAAACTTGGATTTATTTAAAAAGACCCTGTCACTCCTCTATAATGCAGCTACATAGATGCATAGGGTTAATGCAATAGGAGAAGCTGAAGGCTTATCTCACCAGTTGGGTGGTGAGTGAAATCATTGCTGTCTTCATGAGCTCAGGGCACCTCTGCTCTCTGGCACCTATGGGTGTGTCAGACCACCAACTGGGTACTCCCACCTTTGGCATAAAGTGCTTCTTTCGCTTAATGTATTCTATGCAAAGGATTCCCCACCT